CTGGGGACATATTGATTTCTGCCACTTTTGAGATTTGGTTATTGAAACATTTCATAAGGCTTTTATAATAGACACAATATTATTTTGTTCAATGTTTAACCTAAGGGACTAATTATGCTCAGTTTTGTTAGTGTTTTTTGAACTTTTCAGATTAGTCGTCTAGTTTAAACCTTGTTGGGAACATCACTAGCAAGCATGAATACAGTGACAGCTGCATTGAGCAGGAATAGTGTTCATCATGGTCACCATCTTAGTTTAACACGTCAGCATGCTAACACGTGTCACTTAGTGCTGAGGAGTGATAAACACTCCACTACCATCGCATTAGTTTAGCAGGTGTTTGCTTTTAAAGTATAATACACATTTCTATTTAACAATGGCACTAGATGAAAATACAAGGGATCACACACAAATAATTAGAGTGTATCTTGAGGCGGCCATGAATGTCTGTAATGCAGCAGTTCCACCGTGTGGAACTGTACGGTACGGTATAGTATGGTATACTACGGTACGGTACGGCTCTACTCGACTCACACTTTTTCTTTTTTCCATTAGCAAAAGTTATGGACAGTAGCTGGTAATTTATCTTGGTATCACCTCGGTCAAAGAAGGGAATTCTATCACCATCGGTCCAATAGATATAGAGGTCTGTCAGTCTGGACCAAAGTGGTGGGAGGACCAACATTGCCACCCCTAGAACCTTTAGATTGGTATGCAACACACTTGGCTTCTTTTTTATTTGGCAACCATTCAAAGAGTGATTCCCTTGTATCTATTGTATAAGTTATTTATTTTGTGTAGACTATAATGGTCAGAAGATGTTGGCACGATATTGAAATAGAAATAAAGGGCTACTCCAGTGATCTGGTATTGCCACATGTAGGGAACTTACAATACAATACATTTCCCATAATGCAACAGACCCTGCTTTCGCTGTACCCATGTCTTTCAAACAGCATGCCCCTGGTTTGTAACTCATCACTTGTGTCATTATAATAAGTCATGAACTACAAACTTCCAGACGAGTTACCACACAGAGTCATTTGAAAGCCCTGAACCAATGGAGACCCACGCCGTGCAGATGCAGAGGTGGTGTTTAACTCGATACGAGCACCTGAAGTTTTGCACGCTGCATAAAAGCCTGTGATCAGCAGTAAAATCTCTCCTGCAGCTCCATTGTCTGGAAGTAATGGGTGTAAAGTTGTTGTGTCTGTAGAGCTTTACAGGGATAAGTAGGTTTTGTGTCGTGAGCGCTGGGCGTCTCGAGCGTTTGATGCTTTACCTTCCGTTACCCTGATGGCTTCCCGGTCTTTGTTTTGGTCTTGTCCTGATTCTCATCTCCCATGCCAACACTAGTGCTCAGTTCTGGCCTTTTTTTCTCCTTTTGATCATGCCTAATCCTCATTATTATTTACAAGCCGTGATTACTTCCCTCAGCCAGCGCCACAGCACGGACTTTGATCAATTATGGACTATTCGCTAATGGATCGTGTCCCTTCAGCGCACCCCCACCATCATTTGCTGCTCCGCATTGTGCTCGCCGCCGCCGCCTCTCTGTTCAGTGCATTGTGACATCTGTGTGTAAAAATTAGCTTTGAATAATTCGATAGCTTTTATTCTAGCGGAGCTGCACAATATATTTGGGTAATAGATGTGTGCACAGCACTGGGTCATATACTAGCAATTAGCGAGATAATATACTTCATGGCCGGGAGTCCAAAGTGACCCATAAGCAGGAGAAGGGTGTCTACTGTGCACCATCCTGCACATGTGGGGCAATACACAGGACCTGGTGCTAATTATGCATGTGAGAGAGAATGAGGGCTACTGACATTGGGAACTAAAAATCTGTCATAAAACATTACACTTAATAACCATACTATGAATACATATGTGAGAGACTGTAGCTCTTTGAACACCTTTAAGTTCTTTATTTCCTCTCTGTCCTGTGAAAACCGTGTATCTCCAAACTTCTATTTTCCATGAGTTGATGAAAAAAAAGTTGTGAAAGAAGAAAAAGAAAAAAGAAAGAAAACAATCTGGCACTCGCCAATTGCATTGCCACTCAAAAGATCAGACCTGTCAGGTATCAGGTAGAAGTGTTTGTGTGTGTGTGTGTGTGTGTGTGTGTGTGTGTGTGTGTGTGTGTGTGTGTGTGTGTGTGTGTGTGTGTGTGTGTGTGTGTGTGTGTGTGTGTGTGTGTGTGTGTGTGTGTGTGTGTGTGTGTGTGTGTGTGTGTGTGTGTGTGTGTGTGTGTGTGTGTGTGTGTGTGTGT